TTCACATTTGTTGGTGAAAACCTTGTGACATGGAGGAGTAAGAAACAAAAGGTGGTGGCACTCTCTAGGGTAGAAGCAGAATTCTGAGGGATGGCCAAGGGTTTGTGTGAACTTCTTTGGCTGAAAAGGTTGCTTACCGAGATTGGTTTTGCTCCCACATCAAAAATGAGTCTTTTTTGTGATAATAAAGCTGCCATAGATATTTCTCATAATCTGGTTCAACACGATAAAACTAAATATGTGGAGGTGGATTGTCACTTTATCAAACATAATCTCGAGACTAAAAAAATTTTATTTCCATTTGTCAAGTCTGAAGACCAGTTAGCAAATATACTTACCAAAGTTGTGTCCAGCAAAGAGTTCTACAACTCACTAGTCAAGTTGTGCATAAGGGAACTGTATGCATCAACTTGAGGGGGAGTGTTGGCATGAGTTGTAATATATTAGTAGATGGGAGGAATTATAGGAAGAAGGATGGAAAGAAATCCTTTCCTTCACACGAGAGCATGCTTATAGGAACCTGATTTGTATAGCCAAAAATAGAAGATTTTTTCTGGTATTATATATTTGTAACTAATGAATGTGAAAAGGAGTATGAATAAAACTACAGATAAAATATTCTAACATTAACTACTTCAAGAGGCAAGAGCAAATGGAAAGTGAGCTAAAGTTCACCATAAGATGCTGCTAAAAGTCAGCCTAAAGTTGTTTTACTAACTCAAGTTCTGAGAGATCTAAGTGTGCAAAATGGTTTCAAATTTCAGATATTCGTTGACCAACCTAAATTTGAGTCTGTAGTACTGGGGGTAAAGAAATCAAAAGGCTCGTCTTCTTGTTTCAGACTCTCAATGGTGTTTTTCAATGAGATAAACTTGTTGTAAATCCTGCAGTTGTAACATAATAGCAGTACAAAGACACTAGCAGAACCAAAATTTAGTTTTTGACGCTTATAACAAAATCTGGATATAACCCAAAAGTTTTCAGACTACTGCTATGTGAAGGACACGAAAAAACTAACCATAGAAGTGGGCTGTAGAGGCGAACTTTAGATGAAAGTCGTACCCAGTGCACAAACCCCGCCTACTATGAAATTCTACATGATTTGCAATTTCACGCCATGCTATGTAGATTTGATCCAACATTGAAACCCTTTTGTTCTTTGCCTCATAGTTGTTAGTTGTTACTAACTTGTTTTTTGGGAAGTAATTTGTTACCAACTTATTCTAAAAGCAATATTAGGGGCGAGGGGCCAAGGCTACAATTTTGATGTAGTCCTAAATTTGCTTGCTTTGCAAACCCAAAAAAATTGTTATGGGGTTATGTATACTAACAATCTTGGAATTAGGCACCATTTCATTTTTAAGTAAATGGCTTCCTCATAATCAAAAGCTTTTGCTATGAAGTTCGTTTAGGTATATCAACAAACAGGTAACAGACATGAAAGATATTACATATCTGTCCAAAGAATTAGGAAAGACCGAGTGCATAAACAAGAACTAAGCTAATACATCTAAGCATCAAATCCAACTACATAACCTAGACCATTCAACTCAATCTAAGGGCATACCGCATACCCCAATATCCCAGTGAAAAGCAGGCAATCATAAGGTCTAAGTGAAGTAAAGATCACCCAAAGAAACATGGTTGAGGGTCGTGCTAACAGCAATCAGAGGATATTGAAACGCAGTCGTTGCAACATTGTGAAACACTAGGAGACGATGTGCCCAAAATATAAATGAACAAAATAAACACGATAAGTGATCGTTGTTTATATTAAATGTGTGACATTATCGTATAGTCTTGCATGTTACACTATAAGTCAAGGATAATGACTCACATAACTTGATTAAGTCTTGAAAAGTGTCGTAGTTATAGTCAATTTGTAGTCGAGGAGAGTCGTGATTTACAACATCGAAACAAAAATGTACCTATTTGGATATGCAAAACTTGACCGAGTCGTATTGTAGTCAATCGATCCTTTGAACCATGCGACTGACAAAAAATTTTAGTGTTGCCTACACCTCTACTTACACCTATAGGTTTGTATTGGTGTTTGATTCGAGGGTTTTTTACATTTTATATTCTAAAAGATTTTAAAATTTATATTTTGTACCTTCAAAAATTAAATTTTTTACATTACATCATGAATATATTAAAAATATTATAATGTAGTATGTCTGTTAGCTTTCATTACTTTTTTCATCAAAAGACAACTCATTGACATTAACTAAAAAACTTACGAAAAATTAAAAGAAGGAATATATTGCAACGCTTTTGATATATTAAGAATATAATGTAAAAAAAAAATTATTCTTTGAAGGTGTAAAATGATAATCTTAAAAAAATTTAAGATGCAAGATATAATTTTCCCTTGATTCAATCATTGGACCTATAAGGAAGATGTTGTTTACCTCTTTGTACATTTTTTTTTTTTTATTTTTTGGGAGGGAGAAGGGAGAGGGGGAAGGGAGTTTGAATTTTTGACCTTAAAAAGATAAAACATTTATAAGATAAAGACTATCATTGGACCAAAAGCCCACTGGTGTCTCTTTGTACATGATATACTTTACCTGTCTATTGCACACTCCATCCTTACACCATTATGGAAAGACCAGATAGATGTATCCGACCATAGCAATATTATATGAATTTAATTTGAGAATTTAATTGAGTGATCTAATTCATTATAGATATATGATTACGTGTGAGTTTCACGTTTGATGGAGTTTGATTCTAATTTAATAGATATAATTGATTAAAATTTTAAATTAAATTCCTAAATTCAGTATCAATAGAATTTTGCATACGACCATAAAATTTTCTACCACATTGCTGCACTGGAAAGCAAAAATGTAGATTATTTTGGCATTAATTGGACACCTACCTGACTTCTTCCTGGCTCAACATTTATTCTTGCAGACAATGTTTTTTTCTGATGCTACACTGATTCTGCAATTAATATCCAAGTTGGGACTTGGAAGTGGGGTCAAAATCACTTCCTATTTACTTTTTTTTTTTCAAAATCAACTCATATTCACCTCAACTAATCTCTTCTTAAGTTTGGTCAAGGTAGATCATTCACATCGGAATTAAGGTATTCATGAAAGATAATTTCTCATAATTTGACTTCAAAAAATTACCAAAATTTGAATTTAAAAAATTTAGGTTTACATCTCAATATTATCACCCTAGAATTACATCCTAGTTGCCTTTTTTATTGAGTAAAGATGCACTTACCAAATTTTTTACTGAATGTTGTTAATCAAATGAATTAGAGTGATTGGATAATAGGAACTATCAAAAAAATATTTAATGAGACCCACTCATCCATTTGATAAACAAAATTTAGCAAAAAGTTGGGTAAGAATAACAAAGCTATTTGTGATTGACCAAATGTTTAGAAGAGAACCTATGCATTAAATTATCACTGGGATTCAAATTTATGATTGACTCGGGCTCAATTTTGTTTTAGTGTGGTCAAATTCATTCACATTTTAAAATAAATTGAATATAATCATATTTTTAAGTTTATTTTGTAAACGTGTTGAATATGAACAACACATAACTTGGCTCAATAAATTGTATTAGTAATTTATTGGATTAAAAAGATAAAGTGAAAGAAGAAAGATATATCTTGCCTCAAAAAATTGTATTAGTAATTTGTTGAAAATATGAATCCAACGGATAAAATGAATAGTAGTGTAAAGTATAGACTATACCGCTCTTTTAGGACGTTTCCCGCCCTTTTATTGTAAAACATAATGCAAAAAGATAATAGTGCGCTGTCCCCGGTATATATAGCCTAATTAATTGTTATTTATTTCATTTAGATCTATACAATTAAATTAAAAAAGTAGTATCTCCTCTCCTTGTCCCACCCTCCGTACTGTAGAGTCCTCCATCACCAGCCTCTACCTACAGCACACGCAGACCAAGTGAATAAACACACAGTATTCCTGTCAAGTGGGTGTCTCATCCACTTACTAATTTTGTTATACTGTCCAACTGATAACTTATAATCATAGACTACATAGAATACACTGACGGACATTTGATCTGATCAATCATCGAAATGAGAAAGTCCTTTGATAAGTCAAGAGATGAGACCTTTTATGATGCAGCTACCAAACCCATGTATATGATAAATCGGTGGTTGGCATTAGGCACATCAATTAGACCACTTAAAGATTGACACATTATTCTGATTACTTTAACACAAAAGTAGTAAACTTTTTTTATGTCCCACAAAAATTATAAAAAATATCTATTAAAATTATAAAATTTAAAAATATGGTGCTAAAATATTTATTTTTTGTACCATAATCTTCTCCTAATGTGAGACAAAGGATAAAGGTTTTTTGCTTTAGTTATGGAACTTATTAGCATTCACTTGGCAGGAACTAGTTGTGTTGTCATTGAATAAATCTAATCACCCTCGAAGGGGAACACCATGCCCTAATAGAGTGGAACAGTGAAGGAAATTGCACCAAAAAGTGTGCACTTTTTTCATCCTTTCTTTTTTTTTTTGTTTCTCATTTCCAACTTCTTGTCTTCTTGGGATTGTTTTGAGCACTCTCTCAATCAAATTTTTTTCATGTAGATTTCCCAGTTTCAAGAAAATGGATCCCTCATTTTGTGAACAGAGCTGTCCCCCCCCCCCCCCCCCCCCCCAACCCCACCCAAAATGAGTTTGAAAGTCCATTACATTTTTTAAATCCCCTATCAAAGGTAAAGAAAAGAAAGAAGAATGAAAGGAAAAGAAAGTTCCAATTTAATGCTATATTCAAAACTTACAGTGGCATTTAAATCTAGGCCATGTCTATATATAAATAGACCTCCCTTTACTGCTGACCATTCACTGCATTAATGCATATATAAGTTATTCATCCGAAAAGAGACATCAGAAGGAAAACCCACTTTCCATTCCTTACCTTAAGAATTCCAAATCCATCAACTTTGCCAGTGTCTCATTTAATCCATTCTGCACAAACTTTCTCCTAATGAGGCCTTCTTTGCTAGTCTCTCTCCTACTTTTGTCCATTTTCTTTTATGATGCTCAAGGTATGGCACACACACACATTTGATTTCTTGTAGCTGTATGTTTTATAGGATACTGATTATTGTTGTTATTTTTCTTAAGGTATACGCTTGGAAAAAGGAATTTTTGCAGCTGGGAAACATAAGATCCAAGTGAGTATTCAGTTCTTCATTATTTTTGCTCTTCATGAACGAACTTATTTCTGAATTCTTCGAATTTGATACTCTTCAATTCCTCTCCATTCTGAAGAAAAAACATTTCTTGTGTAATGCAGAAGGAAGGTGTTGTTGAAGAGGTCAATAGCTGCACAGATGGGCATTGTTCAGGTACCATGAGAAGAAGATTGTCTAAAGAATCCCATCACTGGTTACCAAGGATTCATGAAGATTACTGTGGACCTAGGATTCACAACCCCAAGCACCATTAAATTCTCTCTCAAGAAAACCTTTTTTCCTTTGGTTTTGAAATTTTTTTGAAGTTCCTTCCAGTAATAGGGGGTTCAGAAGATTCAAACCCATGAACATGTGTTCTGCAAAGCAACTTTGTAGCTTCTCTTAGTGTTTAACTAGTTAGATTTTGTGTTCATGACAGTCCAAAGAAAAAAAGATTATATGTTCATGTTGACATTGTCTAAGTCTTTTGTCATCACATTTATCAGCCAAGTTCTATGAAAAGAGGGTAGTCTAATGCACAAGACTTTAGTTGTACGTTACTGATGTCAATTTTATATTTTAACACGAACACAAGACGAAACAATTGAGTCCCTTGTAAAATATCTCAAGTGGCTTTCTATTATTTTGCAGGGCTGATTAGAAAACTTATGGCCAAAACCAATTCTACTTCTAGGACTATCACCACTTCAAAGGTTGGTTTTCTTGGGAAAAAAAATGTCTTAGCTTTTCTCCCCAAGGAGAAAATAGAAACCCCGTCTTTTCCCTTGTTTCCCTCACATAATTCTACGCTTTTACAGAATGGCAAGAATGAAGGAAATAGAGCTGGAGGACTAGGTGGAAAAGAAGAAAATTTATCAGTTAGTTCGTCGCCGGATTCCGGTCACGGGGAGTCCTCTCCCGAGCACTATCCAGACAGTTTAGACATAGCAGGAATGGATTATTCTCTTGCAAGGAGAAAAGCTCCAATACACAATTGATTGCTGGGAGCACCTAGACAAGTAATAACAATTGTTTTCTAGAAGGATGAAAGAGAATAGAAGTATTGGACAGCATTACCAAAATGCTGCAGTTTTTTAGGGTTAGGAAGATTTTGTATATAGTATATTTTATCTTTGTTCTTAGATTATTATTTGATGATTGAGTCATAAGTACCTGGGTGCTAATTAAAATTAGTGACTAACCTTTGTAACATATATAATACTACATAGATAGAAGCACAATAACGTCACTCAATTCCTCTATTTTTGAAAAATCATTTAACAAACGTGTATGTATATGATCAGCATAAGAAAAACACAGTTTTTTAGTCTCTTTTGCATCAGACAGGGAAACATAGAGAGGTCAGCAAAACTTCAAACTCTATAAACAACACAATTATAGTTGCCTCACATATGAAATACATGCATCTAGTTTGCAAATGCTATTGTTCGAGAAAGACTAAATCTTCGATTAAATAGTGATATCATGTTAGTATTGATTAAGGGATATTATGACCCAATAACAAGGTTTGCAAATTATTAATTTCTCGTAAATATAAATTTCATTTAAATCGATAATGGGCTGTGTCGAATATGCATGAAGTGTATAATCTGCATTTTTTGGTGTCTTGTTATTGAATCGTAATATCACCTATCCCCAAATGTGCTCACTAGAGAAAACGAATCCATCTTGCCATCCTCTCATCTGCTTCCTAACCAGTGGGATCGTATTAACCCTTTGGTTTATAAGAGGAAATGCAGTAGATGAGATTGTAATATCACCTAGATCTCATCTATTGCAATTTTCCTTAGTGATAGATAATCTATTGAGCATTGGTCGGCGACTCACTTCTTTTTAGTAATTTATCTTTCAAAGCATGATGAGTGATTTACTATTGAACAAAAATAATAAAAATATACTGGAAACATCCAAATCCAATGCAAATGGTAACTAACATCCTCACAAATATGCTACTAGCTATACATTGAAACTTGGGACGAGTCAACCAGAGCTTAATCTGAGTCGAATTTGAAATATTTAGTGTTTATACAAAGATTTTTAGTACTCAAGTTGAACTTCGACAAAAAAAATCTCAGCTTGATTTGAATCCAAAAAGTACTCTGGGCTTTGTAAAACCCAAACCAAATTATACAACACTTACTATTGGATTCTGACTCAACCCTAGTTGAAGCCAAATTATTAGCTCGAGTTGTGTAACCTGATGAATTAGAACAAATTTAAACTCAATGAATAAAGATGAAAACAAAACTGAATTGCAACTAGAATTAATCATAGAATGCCTAGCACTCAGGTTTAATTCGGGTTTTTGTTGGAATCGATTTAACAATACTACAACTTGGTTGAGCCTAGACTAATCTCTCGACCCACCCAATCTAACTTGAGTTACGTCCCTGAACAAATCTCCAATAATGCCACAAAGCTTAGAACCAAAGATTTTTTAAGAAAAATCCAATTAAAAAGTGCAAGAGAGACTTGTCTTCAATGAAATAGGTATTCTTCATTAAGTGACCAACCCCATGTGTATGTTTCTTCAATGAGGCAATTGTCCACCAGCGGTCATTGTACTAGATCCCACCATGTTTCACTTGCTGCTTCATTTGTGTGTGGTCACACTTACATGTGGGTTCACATGGCCTTCGTTGGGTCAAATACTCAGTGGGTCGAAGACCCAAGTGTGTGGTGGACCGCAAAATGGGGAGATGCATTTAGGGCATGTGTGCCCTAACTAACACTACCATCATTGCCGATTGGCTTTTATGAAGATGCAAAAGGACATAGCCCTATTGATCAAATTTACTTTCCCAAATGAAAAGTTAGGGATTCAATTCTTCTCGAGACAAGCATAAATATATTTCTACTCCTCTTTAGTTGTTATATTCGAGTGTTTTATTAACAACTCAGTGCACGAGACTCTCGTCACTTTGAAATTTAGATAGACTTAAATATACGTAATCTTATCCATCTTGCAAAAAAGTTATTTTTCACAGCTCAAATATTTGACGTCTAAGTCACTATAAAGCAACCACGCTCTCTAAAATGAATTTTGGCTTCTCTCTGCATGTGTTTTCTCTACTCATTGAGCAGATTGATATTAAATACTATCCCCTTTAGGTGGTTGCTCCTTTTCTTTTAGTGTAAATCTATTGGATTGTAGTACCGATAAGCAAGTGAGCTAAACAAATGCAAAGCAATAAATGCTTTTTGTGATGGATGGTTATGCAGACATGGATTGCCATGCTGCTCAAGATACAATTTTAGTGAGCATTGAAAGAGATGAATTGTCAACGAATTTTTGAATTGTTCCTCCCAACACAAGGCATTAAACTGGGAAAATAGCTCAAATCAGCTCTAGCTATTGAAAGAAGACTCCACTTTATGGGATGCCTCATTTGAAAAGTAGATAAGAGAACGCTAACAGTAAAGCTGAAAGCATATAAAAGAGGGGAACTCTAGGAACTAAGTAATAATTCCTCTTAGTTTAATTTTAGTTAATCCTTTTTTGTTTTTACTGACTTAATCATCAGAGAGTCGATCCCCTGAACTTATTTATATTTCGACTTCGTTACAGGAGCACGATAGAGAGTCGATCCCCTGAACTTATTTATATTTCGATTTCGTTGCAGGAGCACGATAGAAATCACTGAGTCATCAAACAATCCATTGGTACTACTTTTGGGATCAATAGAAAGTAATACTTTCTGAGTCCATACAAACCCGATTATTAAAGACAGAATTCAACATCCATTGTTGAACCTAATTATCTTTATCTTTGTTTTTTTTTTTTTTTGGTTGAAAACAAAAATCAGCTCGAGGAAATGGTGTCCACGAAAAGTGTTTACGAACCTAATGAGGTGATTGGGCTCAACACAATATTAAAAGCCCATGAGACTGTTGTGTCCACAAAAATTGGATATGATCCTGAAAATGTGAGTGAGCTCAACACAATAATAAAGCCCAAATAGCCCATTCCAGAAATCGTATTGGGGTTTTCTGCCTAAACCATATTCTCAACTCGATTCGGAAGCACCAGTTAGGGTTTTGTGGTTGTGTAGAAGAGCTTGGTACTACAAACATGGCTGAACAGGTATGAAGATACGATCTTTACTCTCTCTCTCACTCTCTCGCTTGTCCTGTATGTTTTGTCGTTCTATGTATTGAATGTGAATGCGTCTGTGAGATTTTATGGATTTGATTATGGTTGTTTTTGATGCAGACGGAAAAAGCATTTCTGAAGCAACCCAAAGTGTTTCTATGGTAAAATTAGAAGAACAAAAAAAAAAAAAAAATTTGTTTCTGCGTTTTCCTTGTGTTTTTGTAGTTTTTTGATTTTATTTTTTGTGTTTTGGTGATTTTGTTTTAGCTCTAAGAAGTCTGGGAAAGGGAAGAGACCAGGAAAGGGCGGGAACCGCTACTGGAAGAGCATTGGGTTGGGATTCAAGACTCCAAGGGAAGCCATTGAAGGTCTGTGCTCTAAGTGCATATTACACAAACAAACAAACTTTCTTGCTTAATAGGTATGTACCTGCATAAACAGGTTTATTTGGTGGGCCTAAGTTACTTGATTTCGAAGAGGTATTTTCACAGATTTAACTATGGTATTGGTACTAATATTTTGATACACGTAGAAATGAGTATACGTTTATTTCTATTTTAATGGTTTTTGTGTGTGTGTGTGCGCGCGCGCCTGCGCTCGCTCGTGTGCATGGTCACATTCGCATTGTGCTTTGTTGTGTTTTTTCTTTGCATATCTCTGTGTTTGTGTTCTACGAAACGTGTCTGCGAGTGCACTTGCCTGTGTGCATGTGTTCCTGTGTTGTGTCTTTTTATGCGGCTCTCAACGAGTGAATATGCTCCTTCACACATTTTTAATAAATTCGTTCTGTCTAACTTTTTGCTATGACATGGGCCAGATAGCTAATTTTAGCTTGATTTTAACCACAGTGGCTGGTGGTTGTAAGAGAGCATGATGTAGGGCAGCAGTGAGCCCAAAAAACCAGAACTATTCTGAGGCTGTTTACAGTAATTATGGTTTGGATGTTGTGGGTTAGGGTTTGATGGAAAAGGGGTAGTGTTTTGTAGACTACTTTTAAGAATATAAAGATTATAATTTCAAATTTTTTTTAGAAGTTTAAAACTGGAATAATTGCCGAAAAAGAAGAAGAAGAAGAAGGTTTTGAGACTGCATAAGGTTTTGAACTGCATCTCACAATTTCCATCGCATAAATCTGCTGAGAAGTAGCTGAAAATATTTCTCCCCTTACATTTCTATATATAGACCTGCATGTCATCTTAAGATTAGGACTCCGAAAACCCTTAGTTTATTATGGATGAGAAAACTAATGAACACTAGCACGAGGGTTCTAAACTCTAGAACCTTGTGACCCAATAATATAATTGGACCCCGAAGATGACCCACGGGTCATAGTATAACCCATCCTAGAAATTCTGAAAATTACAAAAATACTCTTGAGCTCAACTTTAAAAAACGTAAAAAAGACAAACCAAAAGTCCCCGCAAACCAACTTTATGTTGCTCAAAAATAAGACACAACTAGGCTCAAATACAATTATGTAAGGTTCCATGTGAGTTTCTGTCTGCAAAGCGTGCCAAATTCCATAGTTTGTCTTGTCTCTGAATTTCAATTTTCTTAAACATCATACGGGCTGCACCAGGGCATGTTTGGGTTATGGTTAAATGAAATTCTTGCGACATTGAGGAACATAGCTGGAAATAATAGTCCTTAGTTGAAGATAGGGCAGTCTTTTTAATCAGGACTCCGAAGATAGACCTCCATGTCATCTTAGGATTAGGACTCGAAAGACTCTTAGTTTATTATGGATGAGGAAACTAATGTACACTAGAACGAGGGTTCTAAACTCTAGAACCTTCAGACCCAATACCATAATTAGACCCATAAGATGACCCACGGATCATAGTATAACCCATCCTAGAAATTCTGAAAATTAAAAAAATACTCTTGAGCTCAACTTTAAAAAACATAAAAAAGACAGACCAAAAGTCCCAGCAAACCAACTTTATGTTACTCAAAAATAAGACACAACTAGGCTCAAATACAATTATGCAAGGTTCCATGCGAGTTTTTGTCTTCAAAGCGTGCCAAATTCCATAGTTTGTCTTGTCTCTGAATTTCAATTTTCTTAAACATCATACGGGTTGCACCAGGGCATGTTTGGTTTATGGTTAAATGAAATTCTTGGGACATTGAGGAACATAGCTGGAAAAAATAGTCCTTAGTTGAAGATAGAGCAGTTTTTTTAATCAGCGTCGCATGTTTGGCATTAGAGGTGCATGGATATATGTTCATACTTTAGAAGGCGAAGCTTATTATAGAGTTATTGGGAAATTTTAATGTTGTATATTCTTGCAGTTGCATCTTGACTACAATTTGAATTGCAGTGTTTTTTAAATGCACTTGGTCCACTGCAAAAACAATTGAGAAAATTCAGTTTTCCTACACGGGGATCAACTTAAACATCACATGGAGAACATACACCCAATTTTATAATTTGAAGTGGCAGGACTAGGGTTATTTCTATACGTACTCTCATCATCTATTCTCTTTATTTTCCTAAATGTTAAATTCAAACTTTTAACGTCTTCTCAAAGTGTTAAATTCCAACTTATAATATCTTCTCACTTTGTTATCAATGAGGAATTGTCTTTAGGTAGCTTAATGAGGCATAAGGGTCAAAAAACGTTTTATTTTCCATAAAATGTATATCCAGAGTGATTTAACATCATCTCCTGATATTAGTGAAGCTTGCAAATTTTGGCACAAATTGAGCATTTCATTTCTCGTCAGAAGCTTCAACCAAAGCTCCATATCTGATGTCCTAAGTAGAAATTAGCTCCAAAGGAACTACCTTCGCTACGTCAAGAAATACCAAAGGCATGATCCAACTTTAGTTGTGAAATTTTTTGTCACAACTAATTTTTTTTTGATTTCATAGAGGGAATCATAACCTCTTTTGTGTTCCCTTTCTGCCTTCAGATATGAGAAGAGGCATTCAAAAATTCCTGCACACATATCCCCATGCTTCTGTGCCAAGGAAGGAGATCATATTATCATTGGCCAGTGCAGGTTACACATTCCACCCAAAGGCCTTCATAGTCATCTTTTCTGTTTAATTTCCCTGATCAAACTCTGTTTTGGCTTTGACAACATATATTTTTTTCGTCTTTTTTGTGATGCTCTCTTGCAGGCCATTGTCAATGATGGTGAGGTTCAATGTGTTGAAAGTTATACCTGCTGGATCTTCTGGTGGCGGGAAGAAGGCTTTTACAGGAATGTGAGGCTTGTCCTCCACTGCTTGTGATGAGGCTGAGTGTTATGCACACTGTGGGATTAGATTTAGCTGATTTTGCGAGGAACCCACCTTAATTTTGAACGGCATCAATATCAGTTGTTGGTTGGACTTCTGCTTTTTCTTTTACCAAAATTAAATTGAATCTTAGAGTTTCCAATTGTATAAAGGTAGTCCAGGGGTCACAGTTGCATATCGGTGATACGATTAAATTTTGTGCTACATTAATTTTTTCAGTCTGAACATAAATTTCTTTTTTTTATTTGCCTTGGCTGAAAAATAGATCTGACTTGTGTACCCATTCATTGAGTTTGCTGTTTATGTTCATTTTGGCAGTATATATTAATAATACAATGTGATTTTGGCAATTGTAGCCGTTCTGGTGGAGACTAAGCAGGATGATCTTGATTAGGCACTAGGCTATTACTGATCTTTTCCCTGTTTATTAGCCAAATTTAGAGCTCCTCAGCAAGAAGTTTGGGTGGGTAGTTAGTTCTGAACTCGTTGCATGATGAACGAACCGAAGATGCATACATTCCCTTGGGCCGTTTGATTAGTTTTACTATTCAGAATTGGATTGGTTTTTCTTTGGGAGTGGTTGGATAAGAATACAAAAAATTTGACTCAGTGATGTCATGTCAAATAAAATATTATTTTTTAAAGTTTGCCCTTCATTTGAATACAACCTTTCGTTTGGGTCTAAATAATTTGTGGGCTCGGATTTGTAATTCTGTTGTGCCAAGCATGGGATTTGTGAGCCCCCAAATTTATTTTACTTAATACCAACTACATATCCCACTCAATCCGGCCAACCAAACGGCCTCTTGTACTCAATCGAGGCCCTCAGGCATCCCTGCAGCACATCCTAAACCGTCTTACCAACAACAGAGAAAAAAGCCATTGACGTGAAAGGCAAATCACATGTGGCCCCCTGCAACATGCGAATATTCTGCCCTTTCTTTCCTAATCGGACAATTTTTATTAGATTACTCCTTGTAATGAAAGAGTAATAATGTCTTGGCTGTAGTTGGTGGGTGAAGTTGGGTTTATTGGATTTTTTTTTGCGATTCTGAAATGATATTGAGCAATTAGCAAGTTATTGAGAATAATCAGTAAAAGTAGATTACGGTTCAATTCCCTTAAGTGTTCATTTTGCAAAGGGTAAACCCCCCCCCCCCTTCAAAAAAAAAAAAACAAAAACAAAAACAAAAGAAAATAAGTGCATGGTTTGAAAGGTAAAAGAAAGGATGGTCTACTATACAAGCTTGTCACCACCACAGAGTTTAAGGAGAGTCAGATATGCATCATCTATTTTTTTTTATTAGAGACAAAAAAGGTGGATGCAAAGGAAAACGTGTATTGGTTGGATCATGAGACTCCTGATTACGCCCATTATAACTCTCGAAAACGAACTTTGTTAGACTATCATAACGGTCAATCACCGAATTTTAATGTAAACTCCAAGATTCAAACCTTCAATTTATGAAAAGTTTGATCGATATTTCACTGGACCACTCTACTCATTGATAGATATACGTATTGTTACTCTTGTAAGCAGAAAAATAATTTTTATAACTTGAACCGTTAATATCTAGAGATCATAGTGAAACAATATTGCCCTTAACCTAAAATCCACCGTAACTTAATTTGAAAGGTAATTGTCATAGTTGTAAACAAGAAATATTGGGAAGTGGACCATTACTCACAAACTATTTAGTTTCAAACAGTTAAATGATGACATGAAAGCCGCTTTATAGCGCCAATTTAGTGGATTGCTGACTAAAGATAGAGACGTTTTCCTAAATAGGCGAAGATCATGGTACTTTGTATTTCCATCATCCATGAGGCACCAAACCAATTTTTCGGTCATCATTTATTTTCCTTATTAATCGTACGGGAATGTTAATGAGTGATTTCGTGTTAAATTTGTCTCGTTTAATTTAATTCATAAATAACTCATTAATATTTAGTCTGATTCATATTAAATATGAGTCATGGCATAATCGGATCGGATCGCATATTTTCATTTTATACCAATTCAATTATCAAATGACTCTCTTAGTTAATTTCGTTAAGATTTAAATTATTAATAAAAAAGTAATATTAAATAATTATATTTTTATATTTCGTATCAAGGTGAAAGGTGAAAATAAAAATAGTGGGTCCTAATATATTGGACCACGCCATGGGGCCACCAAGGTAATTAATTCGCCATACTTTTTTGTGCTTATTAATTGGATAATTTTATGCCACGTCAGGTTCTCATCCATTGCTTTCTATCTTATGTCAAGATTTCACCTCATTCTAAGCAACTAGTGTGATTCTATTGCAGATAATGAACAAATCAAATGAGATCGAGAAAAGGGAACTCTTTTGGATTTTGGTGTCCACATGACATTCATACGCCAATAACCATGGACAAATTTAGTGTCTCAATCATTTCAAACCCTCCTTGCAATCAATCTCAATAATATAAAAAGAGTGTTGTAATTCATAAATTTCTTATCAATACAGAATCTAAAAAATATTAAATTTACACATTTTTTTCTTGACATAGTAAAAGTTTAACAATATTACGTCGATTAAAGGTAATTATATGTAAAACGCTACTATGCTATTTTCACGTAGTCCCCACACTAATATTTTATCTTTTTTTGTGGCCCTAGCATTTGAATGTCTTGATAAATATTAGAGGGGGCAAAATGGTCTTGGTAATTCTCATGAAGATTTTAACTTAGCACCCACCCATTCTAATCATTGTTTTCTATTAGGCTCGAGGATCATTTTTGGAGATGAATATTGTCAAAAATAGAATTTTTCAATAAAATAGAGTGAGATTTAATGAAGGGACTCTTTGATTTGAATATTGAAAATGGAATCATTGAGAAATTTTGCACAAAATATTAACTATTGACGATTTTTGGGACAAGAAATAATATCGAACTTTAGTTGGATAGGTGTCTTCTATCTTGCATGTAATTAGAATAAAACTTATACCCTTAAGAACATAATTTTTAAAATAATAAAAGGAAAAAATAACAAAATAAATCAATTAAATATCATAAATCCATATAAAGTGGGATATTTTAAGCAGTTGAAGTTTTCCACTTATTTATTTTTTTCTATATTTGGGCAGCGATTGGCATGCGTGATATACACCTATTTTTTAGTCCATAAAAAAATATATTAGAAATTTTTGGTAACCAAGCATCTAGACTATAGTTACTGACGAATACTTTTTAAGTATTTCAAAGGTAGGTAGAGTATCAATTAGTTGAACAAATGGAGCTTTACTTGTTCAATTGCCCCAAAAAAATGAGAGGAGGAAAAAACACCAACGAAGCTCCCAGCAACTTGCCCATTTTTCACGAAGATTTTGTTATGTTCCTGATTCTGTTTGGAGTTGACTGAAATAGTTTAATTTTATAGTTTATAGAGTAAAATACGACATGTTTGTTTTGAATCTTGGCTTTTTGGACCAGTTTATGCAATAATTTTTTGGACCCAAAAAGACTTATGTATGCTGATTCAAGAAACTGATTTTATGGGATTTTCTTTCATCTTTTTAGAGTTTTTTTGTGGGTTTTACATAATTTTTTAATTTATTATATTCATAAAATATTATTAACGATAATTTTTTTTTAAAATTCATATTTTAAAAACTATTATGCATAATCTATATATACATGTAATTTTTAATTTATTTTGATACAAAAAAGCCAAAAAAGTAATAAAATTACTCCAAACTCATTTTTTCAATTTTTTTAAAAGGACACCCTAAACGGTTTTGGGGGCCCTTTTAACTGTGATTATTTATGAAGCATTTTAAATCACAGTTTTTCTTCTAAAAAATTTAGCTCCAAACAGACCCACTATGTAAAAAACTAATAGTCTCATTAGGTTAATTAACGACTCAAACAAGCAAAGTAAAGACTCAATGGGTTCAATAGAAGATCAATTTTGAGACATATCCAATTTTTTTAGCATTGGTTCTAAAGTTTTGGATCTAGTTGATTAGTAACTTTAATCTCATTAAGCGTATGTTTGGTAGGAGGGTTGAAAAATAGGAAGGATGGAAAAATAGGAGGGATAAACTTTTTATCCATAGAGGAAGGAAATATATTTTTCCTCCTTTTTGTTTGGTATGATGGATGGAAAGTTAGAGGGATGAATTTTCCATTGTTTCGTATCAGAGGAAAAATAAGAGGAAAAAAAGCATATAAAAGACTAATTTACCATTGTACCCTCACAATAAACTTACGAATAAGTTTGAGCATTTCAATTAAATATTAATTTTTAACCCAAAAATATTTAATTGCTGGTAGTTACAATAAAAATTTTAAATAACATGGTAGTAGATTTTCAAATTAAAATTTTAATATCTCAATAATATCGCTCATAAAGAAAAAAAAAACCTATTATATGTCCACATGAAGAGAAGGTGAGCAACAACACAAGCATTTCAAGTTTGAAAACATTTGGAACATAAAAGGGGTAAATTAGTAATTAACATCTCTCCCATCGGAGGCTGCCACTTTCCAGTCAATTTTCCGCCCAAAATTGGACAGATGTTTTTTTGGTGAGCGGGGATGGACGGCTTTTCCATCTAATTTTCCTTTCCACTCAATTTTCTTTTGATACCAAACAGTGGAAAGTTATTCTTTCCTTCTCATTTTCCACTCCCTATATTTCTTCCTCTCTATTTTCCATCAAACCAAACAAAGGGTAAGTTTCTAATCAGACTTTTTTGGGTCACAAACAATTCTTAATTGCCATGATCTAACTTGGTAGGTTCACCACACACCAAAAAGACAAAGGAAGATAAGATTAACATAAGAAACCAACCTTTGTGTTCTGTGACTTAGTGTCTTCTTCTGCAGATACCATTCAAAGCAAAGCCCAACCACTGAAAGTGAAAGGTGATATATTTTAGTGATAGATATTAGTGAATAGCTTTCTTTCCCTTTTTCTAAAAGCTAAAAGGAGAAATCTAATGTCACTCTCCACAGCCATCTTCATACAGTGAATGCCTTCTTGTTCACTCTGCTTAAGTAAATACAAAGGAGAGCCATTTTCAAAAAATCGTGGCACAATTATTACCAATAAATAATAGTGTGTCATACTATGTTACATGTTGCTTTCAAACAAACAACTCTAAAATATATAAGTGGTACCATTTGTATAGTTAGGGTAATTGGCTTTTACTTTCAATCATCGATTTATCATCCTTAAAAACTCATTTTATTAATTTCTTTTTTATGGTTTATAGTTTCCATTAGGACAAATTACTTTAACTGTTTTTTATGGGTGCTATTCCGATGGATAAACCCAAATCAAATTTAAATATTCATTATTTAGAACTGAATATTCGATATTCGAGCAGAGTTTCCATGAAAAACAAAACACGGTTTAATTCAGACAGTCTTGAGTGATGGTGTAAGGTTTTTCGATATGTAGCTCAAACTCAGTTCGATCATGAAATTTAACACGACTTGAATTCAATTTTAGTTTCAATTATATAACTCCGCTTCACCTTGATTTAAAGAATTCATTTTGAGTTGTATTTCGAGCTGAAAATTTCAAATTTTATTCAAATTGGAATTAATTGCGATTAAAATAATTTATAACTTGAGTTGAATCGGAATTAGTTTTTTTATTTGACACCAAAAATTCAAGGAGTAAAAAAACACAAGTAACGAGAGTGAATTCAACTACCTAGGCTAACCTAAAATAACAACTTCTAATTTTATGGATAACTCAAGTGGTAATAGAAATAAATTATTAATTTATTTGTTTTAAGTTTAAATTTTTTATGAATATCTTAATTCGTACATAGATGGTCTGCACTGGAACGACGGAAAGAGAATGAACCGAAATATACGAAAATTGAATCTAACACTCTTAATCGTTAAACTTAAAAAAACAACCTGCAGTAATACTTTATTCTTTTAATTGACTAAAACATATAATTATAGTTCGTAGCTAATGGAAAAGCAATAAGAAATTGTAGAATAAAGACCAAACCTCTCCAACTATGAGAATAGTTAGAAAAATAAAACAAAAGTACTTTTGAGTTAAAAAAAAAAAAAATTGTAGCCATTGGCCATTATGATATGAGCCGACAAATTGATAAATATCGCATCTGACCTTTTGGAAACATCAGCTCACAGCCACGCTTTCATAGAAAAATCTGGAACTCAACCAGAGCGTCTCTCTCTCTCTCTCTCTCTCTCTCTCTCTCTCTCATTCACACACACAATATTTCCAAAACACACTATAAAAACCACTGAACACAGAGTCAGCCTTCGAAAACCAGATCAACATATTCTCGGAATCTCCTCTCTAAAATCAAAATTATAAACCCTACAAGTTGCATAGAAAGTGAGACCCTTTCATTATAGGAAATGTGTGTGCAAGACGCAGAACAAGTCAGTGAGGGAATGGAAAATCAAGAGGCTTGGGCTTTGCATTCTGAATTATCATCTACCCAGATGGAGAGTTGTGACAGGAACACTGCTTGTGATCCTGTTGGTCTGGGAAATTCATTTCCGGTAAGAACCCATTTACTGTAAGAGTTTTAATTCATTGATGGCTTATAATTACTTCTATATTTTATGGTATATGGTAAAGATCTCAGCTTTTGAATCAGTCCTGGGTGCACCAAGCAAGGATGTAGCTTTTGAAGCTTTGATTTCTGTTCTTATTTTTGGGTCAACTGGTGTTATTAATTTATTTAGCTGTGAGCCTGTGATTTTATTTAAGTTGTTTGGATTTGGTATTTTTCCTAGTTGATGGGTTTTGCAATTATTTTGGCCCTGCTATAAATGAAATTGAGTTTGGTACTTCTTTATTTTGCTTTTGTTTAATTTTTTTTTAAATGTTCTGTAGATGTTTTGTGATCTGTTTTTATAGTTTCTTCTCTGTTCTCTGTTCTGACATCTGGGTAGTGATACTTATTTCTTCAACTGTAATTGAGGTTTTTGTAATTTTGCGGTTAGATAGAGGGAAATGTTTAATTTTTCCTGCTGCTTCTGGTCATTCACTTAATCCAGGGAGATTAAGTGAATGATTGATTCTTTTAGTTTTGGCAAGAATCTGTAGTTTTTTTCTGAGGCTGTTTATCCTTTTTCTTCTAGCTCCTTAGCCTTGAAAACTTGAGTTGTCATCATAAAAGAAAAATCAAATTGTTGAGCCTCATTTGGGATTGGGTAATCAGATTATAGAAGTCATGAATACCGAATCAGTGTTGTTGCTTAGGGAAATATGAGTTTCAAAATGATGGGATTGACTTAGTGTTATGTGTTTGTATACCTTTTCCTTAAACTTGAGGGATGCATTTGTTTTATTTTGTTCATTTTCACAAATTCTCTAGAGAAGTAGCTTTGGGAAGTCCCTATCTCATAGATGACCTGCCTCATCTATCTAGATGGACAGTTTTCTTTTGTTTCCATGTTTATTATTGCAGTATAGGAGTGATTTGCTTAACCACGTAGATTATAGTGTGGACTGCAGTATTTGTCAATCTGGTTTAAAGTGTCGGTCAATACTGATATGACTCAGCCAAGTCATAGTCGACTAACACCTTTCGTTGCGATACCATTCAACATTCCGTATAAACCACAAGTCTCGTGAGCCTCGAGCAAGTTGTTTGGGACATATATGAGTTCAACCCAAATTGTCCGAATCATCATAAATGAATCATTCCATAGCATTACACGGTACCACAATATGGACTAAATGCTTAATCATGTTTAACTTGTTCTTCTATCTGGCATTTCGTGCTTATGAGAGACCATTCTCCAACACCATCATTGATGCATCCCAATGCTCTCCAAATTGATGGCCAATATGAAATTTCAAGCCATATCTATCTTAACATTGTTTCTGAGGTTATGTATTGTCAATAGGAAGGAAATATTCAATATTTGCGATTACAAGGATTTGATTGAAGGCTTTGTGTTCGCTGTCAACAATGCTAAATATGGGGTCTCTGGATTGAGAAGTCACAAAGAGATAGGACTTTAAATAGAAATATGCCAAGTTCGTTTAAATATATCTATTTGGAAGGAACTTAAATTTGTAATTTGGTATAAAAATGCAATTATTTGGGTCTAGCAGTGATATCCTATGGATATTTTAAATTAGGTGCACTTTGTTTCTTTTTGTTGTATGGAGATGTAAGTCCTTCCTTTATAGATATGTGTCACATGCTAGTATGTTAACAAACTTGGTGATTTTGTAGAGCATTCTTTGAGTTTTTCACATCTCCCCCCCCCCCCCCCAAAAAAAAAAAAAAAAACCAAAAAAAATCAAACAACCAAGAGTTGGCTCTATGAATTTGATTTGTTAAATATTTGTTTGATATTTTACTTTTCTAATTAGTCTTGGGTTTTCAGCTGGAAAGCATTTGTGAGGATACAGTTGTTGTGGAGAAGAAACAGAGCTTGTTAAGTAGCTTCATCCCCGCCCTTCGATCTGGGGAGTGGTCTCACATCGGGCAAAGATCTCATATGGAGGATACTCACATATGTGTTGCAGACCTAGCTAAGAACTTTGGTTACAATTCACTCAGTGAGGAAGCCATCTCCTTCTATGGAGTAAGTTCTTTGACCTCTTAGGTTGTTTATGTTTTCTCTGCTTTGAAGGTTAGTATAATGAGCTACTTAACATAGCTTCAACAACTTGCAAACTTATGAGAAATTATTGATTAGATATTATTCATCACCATTATACCGAGAAGCTAAGAAGTGCGTACACTTCCAAAAACAACGTGTGTCCATGTCTAACAAATGGTGGACACTAACACTTTCCAAACCCTGTCTGACTTACTTTTGACTCTATCCTTATTAACATAAAACTCTTATCTTTGGACTTGTGTTCGATACTTCTTGGATGTTCACCTGTGATTAATAGAATGTATGATTTAGGATAGACTCTCTGTTTCACATAATTAAAAAAGTGGTAGTTGTTGAGAGTAATCAAATTAAATTTCTTTATTAGGCAAACCCTACTAGAGAGGCTTTCTCGTTCAACTAACTAGCTAGAAAGTATAGTGTGCTTTTGCATTTTCTCTTGGAGGAAAGTTTAAGGTCTTGGGACACATAGGGAATTGAGCCTTCTAGTTGAGATGACAAAAACATCCTTATTCTTTATGCTTCTTGTGCTTTATCTATGTAACACAAGTGATGGTGATTGTTATTTATGACTCAAATCTGCTATGTTAGAACACTTGATTAAAATATAGTTTGCATATCATCAAACCATATAGACATACAGATGAATTATATACTATTTTGCATAGAAAAATTTAGTATTTATTGATTTGTCATTTTTTTTGTGCTGTGCCAGCTCATCCATGTTCCTGGTCAAGGATAGATGTTGTGTGGGGCAAATAGGAATACTGTCCATGATACTTTTTTGTTGTAGGGTAAAATCTTTTAAAATGGATGTTTACTATTCAAGTAGGAAGACATCAACTTGAGCAAAGGACTTGGTCGAAAGTGGAGCTTAGATATTAGAGGAGGCACTTTTGTATATCAGCAAATCTCCCATATCAGGCCCCAAATGCCATAATGGGCATGGTTCAATACCAGCCAATATTAATTGATACCACTTGTCCAAGTTGTATCTGATTCGGAACCTTCCCATCTCATATCATACACCTTTTCGTGTAAACCACGAGTCGTGCACGACTTGGCTGAGTCATCTAAGATGTCTCCGAGTTAATCCTGATTCGTTCAATTCATCTTCACAAAGTCAGTTGATACTGTTTTGTGGTGTCGCTGTATAACTTGAATCACTCGTGATGTTCGACTTTTTCTATGTAGCATTCCGTGTGTATTTCCCATAGTTTTTAAACCCGGCTTGGACATCAACTTGGCAAGGGATTGGGTCAATGAGTTAGTGGTTTAACTATTGGGTCAACTAGTCGAGACAGTCATATAATAAAAAATAATAAATAATAAATAATATGACAATGAATATACTAGTCTACAATTCAGTTATCAAGCATTGGTCACAGTTATCTTGCAGGTAAATCACTAATCTACTACCCAATTTTATATAATGGATAAATTTTAAATTTTGAGCATACAAAATCCCAAATATAAAACGCACAAAAAAGATTAAAAACAGTTAACAAATTCAATCATGAAACAATTGCAAGCCAATTCTTTGCCATACAGAAAAAATTAAACTAACCCATTACTTGCTTGTTCACTTCAAATCATAACCATAAATCAGTGAAATTTTCAACGAAAACGAGAGGTATTCAATACATAGTGCCTTGAAATGACTGTTACGTATGTGTAGGTGAGACTCTTTTTACTGACAGTGAGCTAGGGTCCTGAGAGTTGAGTAGATGGAAGGCATGGATTTTAAATTGAGTCACTAGGATGTAGGAACTAGATCTAGGGCATTCATATTAATAAATTAGGACCATTGTAAGGCATGAGTTCTACTTTCCTTATGCAAGATCTAGGTGTAACAGTATCTAAGTATTCCAATTTGGGAGTATCTCATTTTTCTGATGGATCTGGTACTAGGCTGCATAGCAATTGATATTTTATTACTGACTCATTAGCTTACTTTTTTACCAACGGCCTTTGGTCCAATGGTACTCTTTGCCTTCATTGCCTTGTGAAGGCTTTACTTTCTTGAGGTCAAGGGTTCAAGCCCCCTCCCCTCCCCCCCCCCAAAAAAAAAAAATATCTTACTTTTAGACTTCGAAGTTGTAGACTTGGACTGTCACATTAACTACCGAATCAGGAAAAAATACCCCCTCCTCTCTATTCATTCCAGTTGTGGTGACATTTTTATACCCCTCAATCAGAAGACATGTATTGATATAATTTAGAACTAAGAATATGTAACTATGTGTCATATATAGCTTCCAGTTTCTCACTCAGTCAATTAATTAGAACTTAAATGTGACTCGAGGAATGAAGTAAACCATTGTGTATTGGGCAGAAGCCATCAAAGAGAATAAGAACTCTAGATGTCATTTAGTTGTAGACAGCTAAATAGGTAACTGATTTGATAACAGGTGTTCGATGGGCATGGGGGAAAGGGTGCTGCCAACTTTGTCCGTGACCATTTACCAAGAGTCATTGTTGAAGATGCTGATTTCCCTTTAGAACTAGAGAAAGTGGTCACAAGGTCATTCATCGAGACAGATGCTGCCTTTGAAAAGTCATGCTCTCTCGAGTCTGCCCTGTCTTCTGGCACAACAGCACTCACTGCAATGATATTTGGCAGGTAAGTCACTTTCGTTCTTAACCATTGGTTGTTGTTTGCTTTTCAGACTTGATTGGTCATTTACTTGTTGCCTTCTAGCTTTGTAATTAAATCTACTAAATAATAGCTGCAGATTATATTATGCGTCCATTTTGGCTTCTGAACTATTTTTTCATTCTGTAAAGATCTTTACTTGTTGCAAATGCTGGAGATTGTCGAGCAGTCCTCTCTCGACATGGAGTGGCCATGGAGATGTCAAAAGATCACAGGCCTTGCTGTGCCAATGAAAGAATGCGGATTGAGTCATTGGGTGGATTCATTGATGATGACTATTTGAATGGACAGTTAGGTGTTACCCGAGCATTAGGTGATTGGCACATCAAAGGACTAAAAGAAGTTGGTGGAAGGGGTGGTCCGTTGAGTGCTGAACCAGAACTCAAATTGGTCACCCTAACAAAAGAAGATGAGTTTTTGATAATTAGTAGTGATGGAATATGGGAAGTGTTTACAAGCCAAAATGCAGTGGACTTTGCTAGAAGGAGACTGCAAGAGCACAACGATGTGAAGCGTTGCTGCAAGGAAGTAGTGGAGGAAGCAATGAAGCGGGGAGCAGAAGACAACTTGACTGTAGTGATTGCTTGTTTTCACTCAGAGCGACCTCCCTCAGTTACGGTGCAAAGGACAAGAGTCAAAAGGAGCTTTTCTGCAGAGGCGATTCAGAATCTTAAATTTTTGCTTGGAGAATAGAAAATTTTCTCTCTGTCACTTTTCCCCTTAACAGGCAAGATTAGGGGTGGTCATAGTCCAAATTTTGTGATGGTGGTGGTGATGATGATGATGATGATGATAAATGGTTGTTCTCTCAAGTGCTGTTGTAAATATATTTCTTCATTAGGTTTTCTTTCTTCTTTCCAGGAAAGCTCCATTTTGTTGCAAAGCAGCAGCGAGAAAATAAAGCTCAAGAGAAAATATATTCTTGTCGATGGTTCTGGGGCAGGGATTACAATTTGTAAATAGATATGGTGATTTTCGCCGTGTATGGTCTGCATTTGATCATTTGAACAGTTAACACGTATATCTGAACTTCTTCAGCCATCCCTTGATGTATCTATTGCATCTTATAAATATGTTCACAAGCAAAAATCTTTTGACAGAAGTTATCAGTTCGGATGAAGGAAACTTTCATGATATAAATGTGCACGGAATATGTAAGGTTTAGGAGGTTGCAGGTAAAAGGGTTGAATCATGTTAGATTCGTGATGTGCCTTATACGTGTTGTGCTAAATTTCTGCAACCACTGCTCAGTTCATGCACAGTTATTAGTCTTATTTATTTGTAAATGAGTTTGGTTTTGAGTACTAACTAGTTTTGTATAGTCATACATAGTCGAGGTTCTGAGGTTCTTAGGTTTGTGTTGGTGGGAGGATGTATAGCATATAACAGTATATACTTAATGTGATTTCGGAAATTAAATTGATCAGATTGCAGATCAAAGATTGAATTTTGACAAAGGCTTGTGTTTTGACACTATGTCTTTAAAATAGATTTCGTTCCTACCCTTTTGAAATTACTGATACAACTCTTTACGTAAGTTTATAACTAATTTGAAAATTTACTCTGTAGCTTTTCAAGATAGATTTGACAATGTTGAATTTCTAGGATTGATATTAAGATTGACTACTTAGATTTTGGAAGTTTTCTGTTAAGAAATTGATAATTTCATTATTGATTTTCAAGTTTTAGAGTCTAATTTTTAGGAATTTTTTTTTTACTAATACATTACTCTTGGTTTTAATTTCAGCTCAACTTGAATATGCACAGGTTTTTGTTGAGTCACTTGAACAAAAACTTGTATGCGACACTTAAATTCAGCTCGAAATCGGGTTGCCATCATAGTCGAACCGAGCCAAACTTGAACATACTAAAACTCCACAAGTCCAACTCAATCGACATCTCTAACTTCAACCAATAAACTAATACCTGTTTGTAGGCCTTGACACCGTGACAAATTTGTAAATATAAAACAAATCAGATAAGTGGCAACTAAACTTTCAAGAAAAGTGTCACCAGTCATTAACCATTCAATTCACGGATCATTTAATCTAGTATTGTGTTTCAATACGATCAAATGCGGCTAAATTATGATCGATAGAGTTCAAACTCTAGCCGAGCTCAATTATGGAGATCAAATTTCTTTTTCTGTCCAAAATTTGCTGAGTATTTGAGACGAATTCAAAGTGAGATCGATCTTAATTATGATTGTGCGGGATTCGTATCCAGTGCAGTTGAAAATTGCTACTCTCCTGTTAGGGGATAAGGGAAGCCCAAAATTCAACTAAGGAATAAGAGATGCAAAGACAAAGACAAAGACAGTACGTATTATAATAATATGGCACTACTTTCATTTTTCATAAGAAATAATACATGGTAGATGATCAGGCCTTGCTACTCCAGTGAAGTAATCTCTGCATAGCAAGATAACAAAACACTAGCAGACACAAACCACTACTTTATTGCACATAATAATACATAGGAGTTAGCTTCATATGGCATATGATCGATCATTTGTGGTGGGGAGGTGGTGGTGGTACATGATGATGAGGGGGTGGTGGTGGTGTTACATGATGAACAACAGGAGGAGGTGGAGGCGTATGATGATGGGGTGGCGGTGGAGGCGTATGATGAGGGGGTGGTGGTGGTGCTACATGATGAACAACAGGAGGAGGTGGGTGCTTGTGGTGTGGATCAGGTGGCGGTGGCCTGTGCATCTTTCAGATTCTTTTGCTTCTGCCTGTCTGTCTGGGTTGTTTGTGGTGTTGGGGTTAAAGATAAGAACTTCTTCTCTACTTATACAAGATATATGGAAATGCTTTTAGGTGTCAAGGCCGCCGATCCTTTCAAACCAACTAGTCAAACCAAACTATTTGTTTTTGGCCGGTTTCTACCTAATATTTTTTTTTATTATATATACAAATTTTTTTGAGTTATTTTAATTCTGCCCACATGTATTCCTTTTATTTTAAGTTACTTACACTTTACCCAGAGACTTTCATCGCACAATGAATCACTGTGAGACCCACTGAAGAGAGAGACTAGACGAAGAAGAAAAGGATACTTATAGAATTGAATGATCGGTTTTTGTGCGTGCAAGATCCTGCACAATATAAAAACGAGAACAGATCTCTCCCTTGGTGAACTCGAGTGAGCCAGTTGAGTGACCAACCACGCTGCTTGGAACAGCCTGCGAGGTCCGGTGGTAACCTGGAACGGCAACGGGAGACCCTGGGGGAGCGGAAGAACGATCCAGTAAGGCTGAAAGAGGTTCCTGGAACAAAGAAGAACAAGTTAGAAGGGCGCCGGAGTGTTTTCCGGCGTATCCCCTCCGACGATCTAGTCAGTCTTTGAGAAAGAGAGAGGAAGGAGAAAACACTGAGTGTGTATTGTAGTAAAGAGTTTTTTGTTGCATACCCGTCTTGCCTTTTGCAAGGAGTATTTATACCTCAAAAGCTCATGATTGCTGTCAGTGTAGTCAGTAGGTGATCATTAGGTACAGGCAGTGTGCGCACTGATTCTGATGAGGAATGTCTTCTCTTCTTAACTGCTCGGGGTCCCGAGCAATCAATGCTGTGTCATCGGGATGCCGACGGTACAATGTACTCCTCTCGGGGAGGATGCAATAAATGCTCTGTATTAGGAGCATTTATTGCCTTTCATTTCCGAGCCTTACCGCATTGAATGCGGTCTCATCAAGGGAATGGTGTAATTAATAGTTTGCTTTCCCAAGTCGCGTGTCAGCAACGGCATGCGGTTTCTCTGTCTTCGATGTGATATCATATGCCACGCGTCCATCCCCTATTGGCTGTGACCCCTGCATTCCAGTACGTTCTGACACTAATTGTGTAAGACGAGGTCATGATGAATAGCCTAGACTAGCCTAGGCTAATGACCTGTACGTCAATAGCTTATCCTGGAGTAGAGGAAGCGTCCAGGACGGGGTACCTCTCGGCACCGAGGAAAGGCTCATCTCGGAACCGAGGGAGGTATACCGACCGAGGTACCATATCAGACCGAGGCCACGTGTCGGTTGTAAAACATACTGAATGCATGATCCTATATGACGAGTACCTCGGGGGCGAGGACCTTTGTGCGCCGATGGTGCTTGATCTTAGCAACAGTGTTTTGGTAATACCGAGGACACGTGTCTTCATCATGGAGTATTTCAGAAAAGTCCCATCAACTGCCCCCCAGCCTTCGATCTTCTGACACCGAGGGCACGCGTCGTAAGGAGACGAAGGGTTTCCCAACAACCACAACTGCTTCATCATTGCCTCGAGCCGCTTTCCCCGGCTTGGGATGTCGTGTGCATTAAATGCGCCGTTTCGTTTTTCGCGCCCAATGATGAAATTGCCTCTATATAAATGGGGCTCCTCTTCCGTTTTCTTGTTTCGCCATTCCGAACTTCCTCAAGAGAGCCTTTTCTTGAATCTTCGCCGGAGATCTCTTTCTTCTTCCATCGTCGACTGCCCATTCTTCCTTAAAGTCTTAAGGCCAGCAGACCCATCGTTGCTTCTGAACTTTCTGGAAGGAGTCGCCTAAAGTTTTCCAGAAAAAACTCCGTTTGACATTCGGGTGAGTCCTAGTTTCTTTCCTCTTTTCTTCCTCCTATCCCTTTTTGTTTTCCGATGACTGGAGGTGTCTCCGGTTGATACATAGCGACTAATCCTCGGGAAGCTTCCTCAGGGATTTTTAAGGAAAAACACCCTCCACTTTCTCACTTTCTTAGAGATGCCTCGTCGTCGCCCTGCTCCCGAGAATCCTCAGGCTGGTTCTTCGGGGTCGGGGAAGTATAAAGTAAAGGGTGGTGAGCAGATTAATAGGTTTAAGGTCAAGTACGGCATTCCCCCGTGCGTAGACATAGAGGATTATGACCCGGTGGTGCACTCTCCTACCCTCGGGGCCGAGGATGCTATGCCCTTTTATACCAAGGCCATAATAGAGGGAGGAATTAGGTTTCCTTTACCCCCTTTACTTCTTCAGTTCCTCTCTCACTTCCGCCTCTTCCCCGGGCAATGTTGCCTTAATGTCTTCAGAATAATTATGGGGGTCTTAGAGCTCAATAGGCGTCTCGGGGTAAATATTGGGCTCAACGATCTCCTTTTTTGTTATTCCCTCCTGAGAGTCATGCCTCACCAACACTTCTACCTCAAAGCCAGGGACCCCTCCATGTACCTTGTAACTCATCTTCCCGACTCGGACAAGGGGTACAAGGACGATATTCTTATTTTCAAGGGATCTTGGCAGAGAGGTGTTGGTCCCGAGTATAACGACTTGTTATGCCCTCTGGAATGGAGAACGACAAGTACGTCGGTTCCTTCGGGTTTATTATTTCGTTCTCCAGATTTCCCATGTTCATGACTACTTTTTTGTTTGTGCAGATATTCCTGCTCGGGAAACAGCTCCTCCCCCTCGGTCGCTGGTGAACTTTGCCGACCTAGTCACGGTTTGGAGATTTACTGGTGACAACGGGTTCGGCCGGGCTGCCCACATCCTGCTGAATTACACCCCCGGGTATAAGAAATTTTCACAGCTTCCTCAGCCTTTTGAGCCTTCGCGGTGGTCTGAACTCTTCGATCAGGCGGCGAGGCAAGAGGTCGAGGAAAACTTGGAGGAAGACCCTGATCGGGCTTCGGAGGCAGAGGTAGAGGGAGTAGTTGAAGAGCTCGGGGTCAGAGAGGACGTTGTTCCTT